GTTATGTTTCTCAATTAACGATTTTACAAAAATGTTCTCATTTTTATTTTATTTATTTTAGCAAGAAATATAATTTTGTTTTGTGCAATTCAATATTTATTTTTTTACAAGTTCATAATAGATAAAATTATAAAACTCGCATATATGCGGGTCCTTAATCTAGTTGGTATATAAGGAATAAGTCCATAAATCATAATGTATCTCGTATTTCGTAGTCTAACACGTCTTAGACAATAGTTCGAACAAAAAAAAGAAAAGACAGAGGAGATAATATTCAAATTATATGAGAAAAAGTATTTAAATTAAGAAATTTTGCAGTAAAAAACTCTGAGAGAGATATAAGAAAGTTAGGGGGTTGAATTAAAACGACTAAGAAAGATGCAAGAGAGGCACGATCAAGTAGTTTTGGTGTATCGTTACGGTGAAACAAACTTAAGGAGGTCTTGCTTACGTGTCGAGCAGTTATTGGCTAGAAACCTTGCCTTGCTTTATATACCTTTTTTTCATTGGAGGCTTGAAGTATCCATTATCCAACCACATGATAAGAGGTATTCACAATCACATTGTAATACAAAAAGTCAAAAACTCAAGAAATTTTGGTCCAAAACTAATTAATTCTATTAATCTGATGATTATCTCGTAATTAAAACAGACACGATATTCTTAATTCATAGTTATCTGATTTGTATAAAAGCCACTACAAATAAGATGGGAAAAAAGTTGGAACTTCACTGACTCGCCAAAACTGGCATAAGAATTCTGCAGATTAGCAGATTTACGAAGAGGTTGTTGAGTTGCCTATCGCATCTTCGAGGATCCTCCTAGCATCAGTGTTTATATCAGCTAATTCACCTGGTGTCTGCATAATCACAACCTCTGTTATCGCTAATCGATACTTCAAAAGCCCCAAAGATGGAAGTGTTTTTTTTACAAATGTTACCTTCCCATAGGAGTTTTTTGTCGTTGGTGAAGCTCCGGATCCCAGCAAAAACCTAATCACATCGGCATGTTCACCTCTTGCTGCGTGATGCAGAGGCTGTGAACAAGAAACACTTTGTGATTAATCACAGTTT